GTATAAGAACGTTCTTCGTTAAAATTCTTTTCAAGGACCTTACTCGTTAATTTATGTAAACCACATGGACCAAATTTGCATTTAACTCATATATATTACATTAGATTTGTTGGTCCTAGGATATAATGACTTATACAAGATGTTTTGTAAGAGGGGGTTGAGTACAAACACAACAAAATTTTCACTTTTAATTCAGTATTTTTGTATTAAACAAAGAATTATAGATTTGTTACAAAAGTTAGAAAGGTAAGACTTGTAATCTTAAACAATCTGACTGGTGACAAATTTGCTAACATCTGAAAGAGTGAGAAAGAAGAGTACTCTTTCATATGTGAAGAACTAAGATAGTGCTTCAGATATTGACATCGATTTTGCCTTAGAAAAAATATTACTCAGCAATTCTTATAAAAGAGGTGAGTAGCAACAAAAAGAGGTGAGTAGCAACAAATGACAAGGGTGACCTTTTGTAGCCACCATTGCATTAAATGCTACTATCCAACTTTAACACATAACTTCATCTTATCTTTTGATCGATGTATGCTTGTACTCTTCATTTCATCTTTGTAGTTGACTTTAACACTTGTTATCTTGTCCCATCCTTTTGTATGTAGAGCGAACAGTAAATAAAATATGACACTAATAAAATAGTGATTTAGAACTTACTTTGACTGACATACTGAACATGTTCCCATACTAGGATGAGTGTTGGAAAAGTTAGTAAGCCAAACTTTTTGGACAACTTTGCACTCTAAAATCTAGCTTGCCAGTTGTAACACCACTAAACTTTAGAAAATAGCAGTAAATTTAAAGCTTTAAAACTCCTTCAATACGAAATAGCTTTATTACAAAGACTACATAATATATATTCCAAAAGGAGAACAAAGGACATATCAGAGTACTAAACGAATTATCTAATTTTCAAACAAAATCAAAACAAGTCGGGTGTCACTAAACCACCAAATCTGCTATCTTCAAAACTGAATGACGTTCTAAGCCATCATATCGGAACCTCTAGAAAACTCCAAACACAACTCATATCCTTCTAAGACATGATATACACGTCGATAAGAACAAAATGTTAGGCTTAACGTCTAGTGAGTTAAAGCGGTTTATCTCATAAATATAAAACCCATAAAACCCGAAAAGTTCCCTTTTATTCTAATAATTCCTTATTAAAGTGGCATTTAAAAATCAAAGAAATTTATTCACAAACTCACCATTTCCAAAATGAGAATTCAATAATAAACTATTACTTAAAGATCAAACTGTCATTTATTCTTACGCTTGAAAATAAGTGAATAAGATTCGATTCACAATAACGTCTGAAATAAGATACTATAATACACCCTAAAATCACTGAAAAGTACGAATAGACTAAAATTTCCAAGCAACATCTTTCGAGTGTGGTGTAACACAATGTAAGCCACGATTCGACGTTATTGAGTTGCGCCCTAAGATCATGATTTCGGTGTCTAACCCATCTCAAGTTTCCACCGCAATACTTAAGGTTCCGGAGCCCGACCCATACGAGTTCATCTCCGTAATAGCTTGACCGTATGCCTACTTAGGCATCGTAAGTCACACCTACAAGCCAATGGTCCTACAGCCCGACTCCATACGAGTTCATCCCCAAAATACCCTTCATCATTTAGTGTCAACTCTACTAGGACAAAGTGTAACATCTTTAAATCTGGAAAAAACGATAAATTTAAAATTTTCATTTGTACGAGAAATAAAAGATAAATCCATTTTCTATTAAACAATACTTGAGTTACTTCGAATATCGAATCTAAAATCATCATCAACCATATGACTAAATAAATCCTTTTATTAAGACTAAGTTATGGTCGAGTATTACTATGACCTAATAACTGTCGCTATCTCCAATTACGGAAGACATCAACAATAAGTTATAACCTTCTCGTGAAACTTTTTGGCACTCATCTAATCACGGTGTTGCTAGTACCATACCATTGAGAACTTGAAGTACATGTCGACAAATAAAAAAGGATTAGGCTTAACGCCTAGCGAGTTCAAGCAGTTTTCATCATAAACATAAAAATGGTAAAAGTGAAAGATGTTATTTAAATCACACTTCCCAAAAATGAAATGTATTTGGAACAAAAGCAACATCCTTTCCAAAACCCATAATTTTCATGACGAAAACTCATTTATCAAAGATTTCTTTATCATGAAAACAAAGGCAATACTCACCCAAAAGTGAATGAGATTAAATACCAAAACATAAACAATGTTCAATACCTAAACCATAAATAATGAAAAATACTCCATACCCAACACGTCATTGAATAACATGGATAAAACTTAACCCAAAACAACAACTTTCGACGATGGGGGATACCCGATTTCCATAGTTAGTGGCAAAACATAAAAGTAGGCCAACATTCAACGTTTATAGAGCTCATCATGAGGATCAATGGCCTCAATGGAATCAATTATTCAGAATTCATAGTTCAAGACCCCCAATGATCCCAGGTACACCATTCTCTAGATGTGGTCGATGGCTAGTATCCGACTATCGTAAGGCTGTACCAAGTTGCCCCCGTTGACCTAATGTCTATTTCTAGCTATAATACAAGGATAATCACCTGTTAGGTCAAAGGATAAAGTCAAAAAGTCTATAAAAGTTAAGGTCAAAGAATAAAGTCAACAAGTCTACAAAAGTTAACTTGAGAGAAGCCTAATAGTTTTACTTGTTTTATAAGTTGTAGGTTTATATACCTTGTTGTAGTTAGCTTTCTTGTTAAGCATTTCATTTTTTCAATAACTCACCTCACCTAGCCACTCAAATATCTCACAAAAGATATTTCTTTTATAAATGCATAGAGAATGAGCATATAATCTATCTATTCTTCATTCGAAAGTTTTAGATATTGAAACAAGAAGACATCACCTTCGTTCTTCGAACTTCATATTTAATTCACTTTGTGTCTATTGAACCGAATCTATATGATTCTTTCTTTCATACATTCATGAGTCTTTGTGATTCCAATTGCATATCTTTGTGATAATGCCGGAAAAGTATGAGAAATGAGTTTTATAACTTTACTTCAGTGATGATTAAAAGTCCTATTAGTGCTACACTAATGCCAACACTGAAAATAAGACACTCAATTGATTTTGTTTCAATTTATGTGATAACAGTTACTATATGTGTTTCTGTGCTAGCCGATTACCCATTTTGGTTACTTAATCGTGTTGGAGACATAATTGAAAGAGGGGTATGGTATCCAAAAAGAAGTGAAAACTAAGACAAGATTTACTGTTTTGTTTTTATGTGGAGTTATTCATCTAGTCTTTGAAGTTGCATGATGTTCAAGATACTCCTAATCATCACGAGGGGGAAAATTATAGAGTTCAAAGACATAGAAGAGACTACAAAGGAAAAATGATATAGAATGCTAATGTTGAGGGGGAGTTAGCATGTGATCATATTTGTAGGGGGAGTTATAAAAATCAAGTGCTTATGACTTTCAACACTTTTCTCAAGTGACCAAACTTGCATGGGAGGTCCCTTTTTGCCTTGAATGACTTTCAACACAACTTTTCTTCATCCTAACACAACCAAGATTCTTGATTCAAATGCCACAAATATTCAATAACAGTTGGACATCGAAAACGTAAGTGTTACACAAAGCTTCTACACATGGGTCCCGATGCCCAACTCCATACGAGTACATCAGCGTAATACCTAGGGTCCCGGAGTCCGACTAAAAAAGAGAGCACCTTTGCAATACCCACGGTCCTAGAGTCCAGCCCAAAACAAGTTCCTCTTCATAATATCGACTACCATGATCCACGCGACATTGGTCTCAAATGAGGACATCATGACTCCTTAAGTATCAATGCGACCAACTCTTATGACTATTGCTCCAATGCATTATAGTCTACACTTACATGGCCCCAACTGAATGACTAACGCATCTAAAGTATGTAACATTCAACAAGTATGAATTAATTGTACTACCATCTAAAACTCCATGTTGAGCTATTAAGACTAGACAATTGTCCCCAAATCTCGTTTAAATTAAAATCAAGCCAAAAGGCCTCGTAGAGCAATTGACTGTTTTAGCACAACCAATGTAAATCGCATAAACGAAAAAGGCATTTTTTTCCGCATTTAACAATCACGTGGCACCTGTAACATGAATAGGTCCATAACTAACACTCTATTGAAGTGTAATAGCTAGAAGGCCTAAAACCATAAGGTCTGTATTTCCAAATCTCCACCAAGCCAAGGGAGGTGTTTATCAATTATTTATACACTTTGACAAAAAAAGAGAGAGGCTAATATGCTACTATTAACAGTTCATAAGTTGGGTAGAATCCCCAAAACATACTCGACCTAATATTTAATTACAAACACTTAGACTTGAACAATAACACCAAATAAATCATTTTTAACTCAGAATATCTTTCTTAAGAGTTAAAATAGTTAAAGTAATACTTTGTCTCACATCATCCAAGTACCCAATACAACCCCCTTTTCATAACCTCATTATGCTCAAAACACACATATTCTTCAAATTCATCAAATATGAACCAATCTCATAAAAATGTTTTCAAACCCCAAAATAAAGATATTTTGACATGTATATAGTTTTACAAAGAAACTAGAACTTACCTTGCTAGATTTTTGCTAAATCTAGGTTTTACCCCTAAACTTGAGTTTCCTTTGGTGAAGGCTTGAGATCTTGAAGCAAGACTCCCAATCTAAGATGCGAAGCTCCCAGAATGCTTTGATTACTACCAAATCTCAAAAATGTACCAGATGTAAGGAATGAGAGGTTGTAGGTGTAAATAAACCAAAACCCTATGTTAAAAGGTAAAACCTTAGATCTTACCTTCCACCCTTTGGAACCTCAAATCACCAAACTAAAACTTACAAAAACCTAAAACCAGACCTAGCATAAGAAAGAAGTTCAAGGTAGAGGGAGAGGTAGAGGAAAAGTTTTGATATGAGAAGTTCAACCTAAGACTTAAAGACGAGTCTCTTCTACAATCAATTCATGGACAACCGAATCAACGGAAGGAAGAGAAGTACGATGAAGGATTGTCCCACATAATCCTCCAAAACCATATAATAAATCCATTAAGAACCGTACCAAACGTTGTTCTTCCCTCCTAGCAATATACGGTTTGAAAGACTCCAACTCTGCAGATTCAGTAAGTGCCAACTGATCCCATAGGTCAAACATAGCAGAATAGAAGTCTTGAACACTCATATCATTCTGTTGGAGGGCTCGGATGCCTGTTTCCAACTGGTATTGTTTAGCAAAATTCGATTGAGTGTAAAGTTTATCCAAATGATCCCAGACTTCTTTAGCCGTATCATACTTAGCCAGTTGAGTACCAATGGATTGTGTAATAGAGTTGTTAATCCAAGTAATGATCTTAGAGTTATAAGTCTCCCAAATATGAATAGATGATACATAATCTTTATCCTTTTCATCAGTAGGTTTAACTTTGGTACTGGTCACATAACCCCACATAGATTTCCCATGCAGGAAAGTTTTCATAACATAACTCCCACAAGCATAATTTTACCATCTAGTTGAGTACTAATTGATTGAAGCGAGTCATCTTTACAAGTATCCATTAAAACAGCGATGAAAAGAAAACGTACACGAAAAAACCCAAACCACAATAGATAACCAAAGCAAGACAGACGGTAAATACAATCAGCAATTAAAGACAATCAAATGTGTACCAAGAAACTTTGATCCAAACCCCAACGAGGGCGCATTGCCCCCTGAACCCCCAGCGAACTCACCACGAAACCTGTGCTTGTCACAAAACTTTCTTCAACCAACAAATCAACAATCATGGACCAACTTGCACTCTGATACCATTAAGATTAAGAGCCAAAAGTCGGCTTGAGGTTTATTATCATTGAAAAGCTTGAATATAAAAGGAGAGAAGATGGAGTATTTATAGCTAAACTACCCCCAAAGTAAAAAAAACCCCATATAATTAGGCTAAATAATTAATAATAAATAGATGTTAAATCATATCTATGCTAAATATAAGCAATATACTCTAATAAGAGACAATGCTACCAAATCAATATCAGTGTATATATGTATATAAATATATACTGAAACAATACATCATAAACGAAAAAATAACAAAAATTATATAATTCAATATTGAACAAAACTTGAGAACATAAACACTATTAATGACAACATTGTACTTGATGCAGAATCATAAGATATAGCCTTGCTAATGCATTGTCTTTTTATAGAAATTTCACTCGTGCAGTAACTATCGAGCGCTTATAAAAAATACAATTTCCTATTCAAGTTTTTACACAAAAATTTGAATCTAATCTATGTTTTCACGAAGAAGAAGTGAAATAGGAAAGGGAATGCGTATTTGGAATTCGATATATAAGGTATATAAACCGTCAAAACTAACTTCCCCCAAGCAATAACACATACAGAGTCTTTCGGTTTTTATAATATTTCTCTTTTACCGTTTTTGTAAATAAGAATGGAAGCTTGAAAGGCTTTTAGAAAACTCATCTTACTCTTTCCATATGAACAGATCAAATTTTAGAGACTCGTAAATTTATTTCAAATTAAAATATATATATATATATAAATTATGATAAATTTTATGAAATTTTCAGTTAAATACATTATATAAAAACAAGTATTTTATTCTTTTAAATTTAATACCGATGAAACAGGTATCGTACTATTTTAACCTTGCAACATAGATCATTTTCATTCAAAATTGGCCAAAATATTAATATATTTTCACATTTGTCATCTCTTAAAAATAGTTTAATTAAAATTTGATTTGGTTCGAATATCATTTGAAAAAAATAAAATTCTAAAATTAAAGTCATAAATCTAAAGTTTAAATCCAGATTTTGAATGATATTGGACTCACCTGAAAGTCAATTCTAAATTTTTTTTTGAACAAGTGACTAAACTGAAAATTAATTTGAATAAATTCTAAATCGAGAACCAAACCGAAAATATTCGGCCACATTTTCATTCTTTGATTTTGTTGGTTTGTAGTTTTGATCAACTTTTGTACACCTTTGCTATAATAACTTTTCCTTCAAAAATGTATACGTAAAGGTTATAAGCAAGGTTTTAAATAGTGTGTGAATCGTGGCATGACATTAATGATGCCTCCATGTTTTTTAAGACATGACATAAGGTAGCAATTTTTTATATTATATATATATATATATATATATGTGTGTGTGTGTGTGTGTGTGTGTGTGTGTTTTCTACTATTATTAAATGAGTTAATGATATTAAATTTTTTAACTTAGGTTATATATCAAAAACTAAAAATTAAGACAATAGAAATATAAGACAAAAAACCTATACATCAGGCATATGTTTAATGTGACGTCAAACATAAACCATGAAACAGTCGAGTGTTATAGCGAACTTTTTAGAACACTAGACATAAAAGGTCAAAAGAACCCAAATATAATTTTGATATCGGGTTAATTAACATTTTATTAAATGAGTTAATTTTTGTTATATACATACGTACGATTTATACCCTCCTTGAAATAAACTATAGTATTCAATTATTCATTGGGCTCACTAAGATGGGCTTAACTAATGGGTGAAGCCCATCAACCAATAGGCTTTTCAATAGCTAGCTTAAATAAGATTAATTGGTTTTATAGTTGTAAAATTCTTGATACGATACGAATTAAAAATACGGACAAATATTATAAGAAAGAATCAAAACAACTATTTTATGATCCATTTGAAAACATCATAGGATAGTAATATATGAGTAGGTCCATTAGGAACCTTTCTTCATTAGGAATCCACGATCATGATAATGACATGTGGCATATTTAATCAGGAATATGAATGTGTTATTATTCGCGAATGTTGTAGCATATTTATAATTAATGTCTGAGTTATGATGAATACACACCCATATCTAACATTAATATGCGATTCATGATGAATAACACCTTCATATTCATCATAAAAATGTTTATTCATGATGGATATTAATCTTGAAGAGGGACACGTGGCGTGTTTTGAACGGTTCCCAAATTCTTAATCAGTTTTAAGTCCGTAACGGAACTTCCTTCTAGTAATATAATCCAACAAATACCCATAAAAAATTTAAGTATATGTGCATGATAGTGGGAGTTATGTAAGAATCACTAATAATTTGAGATCTAAGTACCTAATTTCATTGTGTGAATGCATTGATAATTAACACTATATCAACTTCATCAAAATATGTATATTCATCATTGGATATAAACCATGTATTAATGATGAATATGTGTCAATTGCATTTATATTCTATTTATGAGTATATTCACCAATAAATATTCATATCAAAATTGGTTTCTAGTTTTCAAAATATTTGTGATTCTTATTTAAACGGGGTTTAAGAAGTTTCAAGAAAAATCATGCATGTTTCGTAAGAGATTCTTTATTTATGTAATTTGAAATACGATATGAAATATTGTGGATGTTGAGCAAAGGATTCATGAAGAATCATATATTTATTTTTCTTTAAAATTGCATGCATTTCAATTCGAAAATTGGCCTACAAGTTTCTCAACAATCCAAGCAGTGAAATTTATAGAGAAAAAAGAAGACGACAAGAATTAACGTGGAAACTTCAAAACCGGAGAAAAACACGGGCCTCAAGAGAGAAATTCCACTAAGAGAGAAATTCCACTATGTGAAAAGTTATTACAGTCACGCAGTTTGAATCTCTCAAACCCCATCCAATAATGCCCACACTCTCAAATATTTAACTCACACTTTTCTATTCTCTAGGACAAGAGAACAAGAAAGAAAGAAAGTGTATTTTATTGGGACAATTTGAAACCTATGACTTGGACCCCTTTTTATAGGCTTCGAGTCTCTTTCATCTTTCATTGCTCCACTGATGTAGTACAAGCTTTAGAGAAGGTTTTGATTATATGTAACTAAAGATAAGTTTTAGAGAAGGTTTGAAAAGTATAACTAAATGACATCTTTAGAGAAAGGTTTTAGTAAAATGTCACTAAAGCCAATATCTTTAGAGAAACTTTTGTAAACCTTCTTTAAAAGTACCTTTTAGAAACGCTCGTAGACCATCACAAATACTTGAAAAACGTCACTAATAAATACTTTTAGAGAAGCTTTTGGAAAAAAATTGACTAACCTTCAGAGAAGCTTTGAAAGTGTATCTAAAGCCCAAAAAAAAAGTCTCAAAAAGCTAACAAAAACACACCCTTCTAGAATTCTCACTAAAAACTTTACCTACCCTTACATAGAGAAGCTTGCTGAAGGAAATGGAAAGCTTCTCTAAGGTGACGTTTGGTTCGCATAATATTTTTGTATGGAATGAAATATGTTAAAGGAATTTGACTTTGAAAGAATTAGAATGAAATATTGTCAGATTTGACCACCTGTTTGGTTGGCAGACATTAGAATGAAATTTGTTAAGAAATTTGAATCTATATGTTTGGTTCACAAAATGTAGCATTGGAATTAGAATGAAATATTGATAAATGACTAAAATGCCCTTTTTTGAAAATCTTAAATTTTTTTAAAACTTAAAATACTTTAATAAAATAATTATTTAATGTGTAAAATAATATAAAATACACAACCCAAATATAACCATAAACCAAACGACATTACTAAATCGACGGTCGTTGGTGGTGGTCCATTGTGGTTCATATTGGTGGTGGTCTGTAGTGGTTCAAATGGCAATGGTCGGTAGTGGTTCTGATCGATGGTGTTCTGTGACTGTTCAAATGGCGATGGTCGTTTGTGGTTCAGATTAGTGGTAGTCCGTGGCAGTTCAAATGACAGTGATCGACAGTGGTTCAGATCGGTGGTGGTTTGCGGTAGTTCAGATGGCGGTGGTAGTTCGTGGAGGTTAAGATGACCATGGTCGGCAATGGTTCAGATCAACGGTGGCCACCGATGGTTCGGATCGACGATGGCCGGTGGTGGTTTGGACCGGCAGTGGCCGACGATGCTTTAGACTGACGGTGGCCGGCAGTCATTCAGATAAGTGGTAGTCGTCGGTGGTCAGCGGTGGTTCAGATCGGTGGTGGTCCGCAGTGGTTCAGATCAGCGGTGGTCGACAGTGGTTCAGATCGGTGGTGGTCCATGACGGTTCAGATCAGTGGTAGTCAGCGGTGGTTCAGATAACAGTTGCCCACAGTGGTTCAGATTGGTGGTGGTCGGCGATAGTTTAGATGGCGATAGTCGATGGTGGTTAATAGTGATTTAGATCGACTGTGGTCGGAGGTGGTTGACACTGGTCACATTAGGTTCTGTGAGATTATGGTATATTGGGTTAAGGGTATATTTGATATTATGAAAATAGAGAATTCCATTCTATTAAAATACCATGTAGTTGCTAAGGAATGTTAAATTCATTTATTTGTGAAATTTGGAGATTTTTTTTTCGTAAAAAGGAACGAACAAAACGAGAGAACGGAATTTGGTCAATGGATTTCAACATTCCAATTACATCA